TAATAATAATTATTATTATTATTATTAATAATAATAATAATAATAAAAAAATAATAAGAAACGCTTACAAGGCTGGATGTATCGTTTAATAATGACGAGAGGTGCCATACTCATTTACCTTTGGTGAAGACACTTTGACGTGAACAATTATCGGTGCTAATGAAGTCTTGATTAGTTGTGCCGGATGATTAATGGTGTCCGCATCTAGAATAACAAGCTGTAATGAACGAGCCAACTCAAATATTCTTTCTATTTCACTTTGCACTTCAGCTGAGAAGACAGAAGGAAGGACAACAGTTATTACTAGGCATATAACCTGCACAGTTGTAAACATGAAAATGAATTGTATAGTTATATGGAGCTTGCACTAAAAGTCCCCTTGTTACATCAGGGCCCCATCCCCCACACCAAATTGCCACAATAGCATGCAAAAAAAGCAAGAAAAATATTCTTACCTTAATCCTGGCTTCTGTCCACGATGCCTAGGTGAGGGTTATGTCCCAGGATCTTCTGTTGAAATCCTGGGAATGACTAGAAGAAGCTTCTGCACTACGCTGAAATATCTTTTTGCAAGATTTAGCATATTTGACGTTCTCAGGATCTAGCCGGAAGGTCACCCTCTCCAGTGCAGAAGCCAGGGGTAAGGAAAGTATAACTTCTATTTGTTTTTTCTCGTTGTTTTTTTTAATGCTACACTGTAATCCTGTGATTTGGTATTGGGAAGGGGCCCTGATGTAATAAGTAAAGTACACTTCAATGAGACCCTGTCGTCAGACCATTCATTTTAACAACAATCTTCCCATAAGATGATATACCCGTCTTCCTTCTGTAGACATACAAAAGCTCTGAGACTGCTGCTGTGTGACACTTCATTGGATGTGATGTTGGCAGTCACAGCAGAATCAAAGCTGTCACTAAAGTGACATTCTATAGTATTCTTCGCTCCTCTTTCCTGGCTGCTGCATAAAAGGTTATGTGAGGAGGGGTGGAGGAGCTGGGCCTGCACAAACAGTAAATCGGCACCCCCAGAAAAGGAGAGGGCTATGACATGCAAGGAGGAAGAGGGCTGCACTAGAAAATTTACTCCTGGAGTAGTCAAATTTGCAAGCAAGTTCAAAGACATATAGCAAGTAAATAAACAATTTAGCTATGAAGCAGAAAGATGCTGCAAGTAAGCATTTTAAATAATTGATCTGTCTGCGCTTTTACCTGCAATTTTTTTAGGCCAGTGACAGGGTCTCTTCACACAGTATTTATTACAAAGCACTATTTTATTATGAACATGCTGAGAGAAATAAGTAGATTGTTAGTGTTCACCACTCCTCAGGTTTGGAGTAGAGGTCATCGGGCACCACTATTTCCTCGCATACATATGGATAGCTCCTCTGCCTGAACTGCACAGTGAGCTGGCAGCATTGTTGCTCAGTGCACGTTATAATTAATGGCCTCTGTCACTCTGTCACACTAATTTCAGGTGACTCAGACACCCTGTGATGACAATGGCACCATAATGACTCCGTCATGACCTCAGCATGCATAGATGGAGGGTGAGGGGACTCAACACCAGTGCTGATTTCGTTTTAAAGTGACCCTTTCACTATAGTCAAGGTTTTAAATAAAGGCATAATAACAGAAGTCTGTAAATAATTACCTTTCCTGCTGCCCAAGCTGTCGATCTGCCCTTAGATACTGAGAAATCTACTAAAGTCTGCACTAAAACCAGCACTTTCAGGAGTGTCAATTTCCGAGGTCCCCCCACAGCTCTCACTGGGTCCCCCTGCTGACCTCCACCCATTACAGTATACAGTAGTGATGTGGATGTTAGAGGGGGGAGCCAGTGAGAGCTGGGGGGGGACCCAGGAGGTTCACATGCCAAAAGGTATTGGTTTTAGTGTAGACATAAGTAGACAATCTCTCAACATCAGAAGCAGGAACTGTACTGACTGGTTTGTGTTTAAATTCCCATAAAAAAAACCCAGCATACCAGTTCATAACTATATGACAATGTGGGCTACTGAACTTGGTATTACCTTTGTACCCGTTATGTGGTCCCAGATGTGGGACACTACTAAATCGTCTTCCCAGAATGTACATGCCATGGACACTAATTACAAGATGCTATTATGTTCCCACTAGATTGGTGTATGTGATCCCAGGATACTCCCCTAATTGTTTTAGGGGTTGCCCAAAGCCAAGCACTTTTTTTCATAAGTAGTGGCCATGCCCGGTTGTGGAATATCTTTGGAGAAATATGCTTCATGCTTTGTTTTGTGTCTTGATAACCATGAACCCCAGCGAGGCTCTCCTTAATTTGAAACTGGATGTCCTTAAAAAATACCAATTTGTTTTAATGATGCCTATATTGACAGCAACAAAACAAACCAGTGTGAAAGCATGGCCCTGTAAGTCCCTTACTTTAGCTGAAATTAAATCCAGACTTCATTGGACATTCTCTAATGAGAAACTCTCAGCTAAGCTGATTGACGCCAATGCCTAAGTTAAAAAAAGCTCACCAGTTATTTACTGAGGAATATTGACCATCACTTGCTGGACCTTTAGAGATCCCGAAGCCTTTGATCAGTTAACATGAGATCCTGCCCATGACCCCGAGGTCTCCAAAGCAGGCTTCTAAAATGTATCTGGGGATCTGGAAGACCTAGGGTGGCCATGTCAATTTTTGATCAGCCTACGCTTTCAGGTAGTTTGGGCATCCCTAATCTTCTAAAATATTATACTGCAACACAAATTTATTTTCTGAACCTGCTTCATGCAAATCAGGAAATTCATTTGTAAACTTTTTTGGATATTGTTGGTGTGTCCCCTATCCCCTATCCCCATCCATAACTTGATCTGGCTTCCACCACAGTAATGCCCCCCGGGTTCATAACCCAACATTGTGCCACTCTCTAGACAGGTGGCATGCTGTTAAGCTTTTCACGTTTGGGGGGGTCAATCATTCTAATAATTATTGGAAACCTGGAAGCTTCAGAACTCTGAGCTGTTCTGGTATTTACAAATACTGCATTTTTTTAAATTCCCTTACGACTATTACATCGTTTGCACGCACAGCTTTTGAAAGCTTCATTCTGTGGGCCTTGTCTCTTCCATATATAGGAACCTGAATATGTTAAATCAACCTACTAAACATAAACTCACAGGGTTTGGTGGGAACAGGACTCCTTAACTACCCTCGAAACAATCAAATTGGACTTTACCTTGGGCCCAAGTGGCTGAGATTTCGCAGAATATAAACGCCTTGGAAAATTCATATAAGGTGTTGTTGAGACGGTACCCGACACCAGACAGGGTTTCTAAATTTGCTCCCATGGTGTCCCCTGCATTTTAGGGGATGCACATCCTGTGGCACTATGCTCCATACTTGGTGGAGCTGACCAAAGGTCCACAAATTGTGGATTGGCGTATATAACCTTATTAGGTATGTTCTCCATTGTAGATTGGTGCAGAACCCATGGGAGGCTCTATTAAATGTGAACATTTCGACTCCTTGGAGGAGCGAGGGTGTGCTGGCCCATCTTTTTTCTTAGCTACCAGGTAGACTATAGCCAGACAATGGAGGCAACATATCCTTAGTTACAGTGAGGCTTGGCAGAAGGTCACATGTACCATGATTAATGAGAAACTTACCATGATCCTTTACGGTATTCACACGAAATATCTCAATGTATTGTCACTATGGATAGAATATCTTAGATGCTCTGATTTGACCACACTTTATTGAAGCTTTGACCTGTATACCCCTAGCTTCGTGGGTTCCCCTTCTCCCCAGAGGCCCCATTCCCTCCTTTGCCTGCTTCTCCCCTATCGTCTTCGTATCTTCCCCCTCACCTTTTGCCCTTTGCACTGATCTTTATTTTCCCTTTGCACTGATCTTTATTTTCTTCTGCTAATTTTTTGTTGTTGCATTTTTTGGCATCAGATGATACCAGTAAATTGTAGACAACTTCCATGCTTCAGATTGCTGCTACTTCTACATAGTAACATAGTATGTAAGGCTGAATAAAGACCAAGGTCCATCCAGTTCAACCTATATGCCTTCTCCATTTAGTTGGCGCCAATTATTTAATGTTTTTAATTTTTTTAGTGCATGGGCTTAATTACTACTATGACATTGATGCTTTTTAAAAAAAAATCTTTGCTACATATTGACTATTTTGCACTTTGGTTAATCCCATTTACAAACCTATTATTTCCCGTCTTACACACATTTGGTTGCTAAGGGCAAAACCCTACTTTTTCTATTACTCCAGTTTTTATACATCTGCTTAAAGTGTTTATATTTGTATGTTTGATTTTCATTTTCACACATTTTACACATAATGTGGACCATTACACTGAATATGGATATACTGTATGAGTTTTCGCTTGGTAAATGCATTTTTGCGGGTTAAAACGCGCACGCAGCCTGCGCATGTGCGTGTTGGGCTTCGTAAATCAGCCCCTCTGTCTCTATGAATTGACAAGATGAGGAAATTATCAAGTTGAAAAAAATCTGTCATTCACATTTAATTATCACTTTTCCCAGTCATAGCTGTAAATAGCTACGCAGCTTGCCTGGTACTATCAGGCTTAAAATATAGCGCGAATATTCACAACTTCACATCATAATGTACCAGTGCATTTCATCTACTAACTTTAAAGGGCATGTGATATATGCATGCATATGCACTCATGTCATGGCTGAATGTACTTTCGAATATAAAATCTAAGGATTAAATGGGTTAGAAGAATCCATTTGTCTGTTTCCCTTCACAGCCTGTCCTGGCAACAGGAAGTAAAGTAGAGTAAATCTCTACAAGATCAGGGGAATTCCACTCTTCCAAACAGGTGCCCCCATTTGGAAGATTTCCCCTCACTTCCTGTTTCAGTGCCAATTCAAAAATGCAGGATTTTCTGTGTCGGAGACAATGGTTACGAAGACAAATAGAGAGGATGAATTGGCTCAGCAAGGACAAAGGCAGCTATAAACACTTGACAGTGCTTATAATTGCTTCCCTAGTCATCCTTCCCCTGACCCCTATCCAAAATAAATAAATACACTTTTGGCTGGAATAGGGCTTTAGGGCCCCATTCATACCTGAATTTGTTGTAGCTTGAATGTCTAATGGCTCCAATTCCAAGTTACTGACCTGGAACAAAGAAAGGGATCACAAGCTCTGAAGCACTGTGACCTTGTTTGCCGCTTCCATTTTAATTGCTTTTTATTTGCTTAAAATCCTCCCTAGCTTCCCCCCCTATGTAATGTTAAGGAGGGGGCTGTGGGAAGTTATGTTTACTCTATTTAACACTGTCTTTACTGTGCTGGCAGAGTTCATTCTCTCAGTTGTAAACTAGATTTAAACAATGTCTGTCCTAACAAAGGGTTAAAGATCTAGGAGTATTGTATGTTAATGAGAGGAAGCTCAGTCTGTCCCTCGGTTTGACCCACTAGTTTTACTGCTCAGAGTAGCCTGGAATGGCAGTGCACCCTCTCCTCCCATATCACCTCGCCACTATATACATATACATGCATACTGTATATACATACTGCCAATATTTAGTATTAGTACTAAGGCTTTATTAGTATGATGTTATTCCATTGTGCATCTGCTTTATGTTCTAATGACCTGTTATAGTCTGATTTGTCCATTTAATTTTTTTAATGTTTAATCCCCCCATCGTTATTATTCATTTTTTTTTTTTTAAATGAAATTTTATTGCTTCATTGTATAATGCAGCATTCATTTGTCTCTTCATTTGTCTCAGTATGTGTTCCCCTTAATCCATCAAAAAAAAAATTATCAATGGGAGTATTACATGAAACAATGTACTTGGCGTTGGCTTTTAATTAAACGCGAAAGCCCCTGCTGGTTAACATTTGATTCAGCCTATTGATTTTTGTGCCTGATCCCTGCTTTTCACATCAACAACCTTGGCAAGGTCCTCGGCATACATTCCAATGTAACTGAATTTGCTGTGTTAACCTACATGCTAATTCAGAGTGGCACCCATTGTCAGTCATTGTTAGTCGAGCGCCAGAAATACGCCCGTGTCACTCGTCACTTAGGGACCTGCTTGCCGTGGTCAGCACTCCACATTTTAAAAGCTGGTTTTAAAGAGAAACCCGAGGAAATGGGTAGAGTCTGATATTTAGGGCTGTGCTTCTTGTAAATTTCAGCTGATATACGGGGAAAATTGGAGAAAGTGACCATGACTTCACTGGCTGTCTGTGACATAAATTATGTTGGAGAGGAGGTCACTAATGGAGAACTATGCGGTGAGCGATTTTCACTCATCCTCATAGTTCAAGCCAACGTGTGGCAACGAAACTGTCACACGTCAGCTCTATAGATCTTGAAGTGAGCGAACGCATACCGTCGCTCACTCACTTTCCGATCATCTCCCTGCAGAGAGCGGTGACTGTCAGTCACAGCTCCCCACAGGGATTCCCCCCTCCTCCCCGCTCCGATCCTCCAGCACTAAGTGGAGGACGGACGAGGGAGGGGGCGGGCACCGCTGGCTCTGCCTCTAGATAGGCAGAGCACACTGTCACTCACGCAGCTGGGTGGATCTGTCCCGACTGCGCACTCTCAGTATATAGTGAGCAATATCCCACTATATACTGAGCTTTGGGTGACGGGAGGATGCTAGTATATGTCCTCCTGTGACCCTTAAGAGAACTATGGCATAAAAAGGTTACCCCATAGTTCTCTTTTAATGGCAGCACTCCTTTATTTATCTCACTACAGGTTCCCTTTAAAAATGCCTCTGAGCCCCATAATATAGTTCTCTCCATAGAAATATGTTTAACCAAACTATCTACTAATCAATTAATAAACAAATCACTGACCAAGTAACCTGAGCAGGATAAGATTAATCAATTAATTTCCTGTACATAACTTTATAAATGTATGTATAGATTTACAAGCTAATTAAAATGTAATGTTATATTCAGTGATATAAATATGGATTTGCAAGATAAAAAATGTTACACTGAAAAAATATGAATTAAGGCTCTCAAGTGAGATGGAAAGTTACATTGAGTAATATTAATATAGCTTTACGGTCTGCGGGTTCATATTACTGATATTAAAATCAGACTGATCTAGATATGCTCAGTGTTTCTTAACCAGTCTTGTACCTCAAGCATAATGCGTATGCCCAAAAAACTTAAGGCATACGCAGCACACGCTGTCCTTCCCCCGATTTTTTTTACATTCTCAGATGGCAGCCAGCACTTGCTGTATTTTTCCGATCTCGAAATATGGATCTTCTGATCAGTGTTTGTAAACACAGTTAAAGCGGACCTTTACTCTCTTTTACTTAAAATCACATCAGCATTCAACTCTGCATGCTAATATGAAATCATCTTACATTGAATTGGTATTTTTCTTTTACTTTCAATTACTGTTTTCCTACTTCTTGGTCCTCTTGGGCATTAGTGATGTACCCTGCGCCTTGGGGATGCATCCTGAGCCTAAGGGATGCATCCTGGGAAGGTTACATCAGCAGAGCGCTGCTGAGAAATCTCATCTGTAATCTCATGCGAGCTCAGGGAAACGCATTGTCCTCCCCTGAGATGATGTGCATGGCCACATGTCCTTGTCACATGTGCCAGAGTTCCAGGAAGTAAAGGAAGATATATTATTCTGCCCTTACTAAAAATGGCCACCATAAGAAGAAGGGGGAGGAAAAGAAAAATAAGGTAAAGCCGTTCCTAGATTGCCATTACTAAACAATTCTAAAGGTGACTTTGTTGTCATTTTAAAGAGAAGGGTGAAGTTCCTCTTTAAGTAGTGTTATTCAGAGATACAAAGTAACATTATTGTTACTTTGTACTTACTCTGTTTCATCCATCTGCAGATCAAAGTGGTGAGCACTGTTTTTCTTTAATAAAATGTGTTCCTATTTAACCCCTTATTAACTGTTAGTTAACTGTTAGCTCCTTTAACACTGATTCTTTTTTAACCTAATAATGGTTGAAGTAGACAAAAGTAAATTTTAAAGTCTTTATATTTACATCTTTATGTCTATGGATTGCATAGAAAAAAAATGTTTGCAGGACAATATCATCAAAAGAAAGTTTTGTTTGTCCTAAAAAAAAAACCAGGATGAATGACAAGGGTGTGCTCTACTCGTTCACAGAGCTCACTGAATTGTGGAACAATAGTACAAGCTCTATGAATGGAGAAGGACGCAGGAAGGTGTGGGTGAGTGGTGCAATTCTATCACATTGATAATAGTAGGAGTTAAACCCCAGAGCACTGGAGGATAGTCACACTGAGGTGTATCCAGCAGCATTATGGAAGAATTTTTGTTACGAAGCAGAAGTATGGAGGAGGTGGGATACACATCATCACAGGTAACTAATGTGATTGGTGTTGTGTCCTACAATAAATAAATAAAACTTCAGCTTTTAAGGATCAGTCCACTATAAAGTTATAAAGTGATATTTCAGTTTTTGGTAGATGTAGTTAAAGGCTAAGTTTAGCTTACCTTTTCACCCATATTTAGGGTGTAACATGAAACATTGTCAGATCGCAACTCCACCCACTTCCTGCCCCCTCACTTACCTGAATTTCAGGATTCTTCTCCCTGCAGGATTTTTCACCTTTTTGAATTTGGCATAGCTGTGAATGGCTCTGCCCACACAGCCACATCATCCATTCACAGATTGTTTATAGGTTCTGTGAATGGATAAAGTACAAGTCCCATCAGCCACCGCATTGATTAGTCCATTAATTCTTCCTCCTGTCCACGTTACTGCATGCCTGTACCTCAGTATGGACATGGATGAGAGGAACAGAGCATTGCACTCACAATCAACTGATTGCCATTGCAATGCTTTATTGGCTCCAGTGCAAAAAACAAAACACTAAATGTACATTTTCTCTTTTTAGAAGAAGTGCGCTTTCATTGTTTTTTTGCAAAAAGTGGAATTTTCCTTTTAACCACCTGGTAGTTTCTTCTACCTCTTGGGGACCCAGATAGTGAGATCTGTTATTTGAGTTCCCGGGTCTGCACACCTGCTATGTCCATTATACAAGACTTCAACTTTATTTCTGTAAAGGGTCTTACCTAAACTGGATCTGGTATTGGAGCGTTCGATTATAGCCCTCCTGGTTGGATTATTCAGCACGGATCTCTTGGCAAGAGAAATGTCAGCTGTCACCCTTGTGATGGATATCCTGAAAATGAGGACACAGAACCATATTAAACATGTTCACTGAGGATTATTATATTTGTGATTTGTGTACAGCAAAGTAAAATCCCTTTATTTGAAAGGTAGCTTATAACAAAGACAAAACAATCATTTCTGTTACAACAGCCACGGCCTACTTTTTCTTTCTTCATAGCCTGTCTATGGTTCTATCAGTGCCCTACATGCTATTCAACTCCTTTATCCTAAAGACAGAGACTTCCATTTTTTCTGGTCATATAGTTATTGCAGTCTATAGCTGGCCATACACTGATCGATTTTTGTACAAACTTCCCTACCAAAAATCTCATCGGAACATTCATTAATGCCATCAGAGACTTGGCGAATGTTGTTCAAAATTTAATTTGATTTTGGAATGAATGGAGTGTCCTGAATGAAAACCACATTCACTGTTGGAATTTAATTCATTGGAGAAAACATTTCCATCCAACTCATCACTATGGTTGAAAATGATCGCTGATATGACACTATTAACTATTGGAAAACTGAACATATGCTCAAAAAGAATATTTTTTTGGATTATGGCCGGTGCATGGCCAGCTTACCTGCTCAAGCAGAATATTATAAAAAAACTGCCAGGCAAAGTTCCGAGCTTGATAAAGAGGCTCAGCCCTCAGGGTGGACATGAACTTCTAAAGGTGGTCTGATGTATGTATGGTTCCACTACCGTCTGGTACCCCCCTTCCCCCATGCAGTTACAAACACACTGACCTAGGCCCCATTCACATGGAGCATTCTGGGATTCCTGTGGCAAAAACTGGTCCTGTTCAGATGCGGCCGCTAGACCTATTGAAGTAAATGATCAGGTGACAGGAGCTGCATCTGTCAGCAGCAGTCTGCAAGTATTTGTACATGGTACGATTACATGTGGTTCGGGACAGATGATTGTTGGTGGACGTAGGAAAGGTTTGTCCACTGTCACGCTGTCAACTTCAATGGGTACATCGGCTGCATCTCAATGGGGACACCTGGGATTCCTGCCGCAGGAATATGAAGGTTCTTACCACAGGTATCCTAGAGTGCAGCATGTGTCCCCGTGTAAATGGAGCCTTAGTCAAATGACTGAGTGTAACGTTGACCATACACCAGTAGAATTTTGTTTGAAAAATGTGGTTTTGGATTGTTCATTTAATTATATAATAGTTAATGGGGTCAAATCAATGGTCATTTTTAACCACAGTGATGAAAAAAATCAAAAAAGCAAGATGGACATTTTTTCTCAAACTAACAAAATTCTAACAATGAATGTGGTTTTCATTCAGGAAGCTCCATTCATTCCAAAATTGCATGTTAAAACCACACAAAAGTTTGTATCACATTCATCAAGTCTCTGATGGCATTCTGAAATGTTCTGACAAAATTTTTGGTATAAATGTTCGTATGAAAATCTACCAGTGTATGGCCAGCTTTAGTGAATGGATGGGGGACAGAGGAGACGAGGGGTACAGGCAGATGCTTCTGACACTGGCCTATCACAGGGGGAACAACAGCCATCAGGATATGTTCCTGCTGAGAGCAGTTAGTAAGGGTTGTGCATTAGACCCATAGACATAAACTCATCTACCAATCCAGGCAAAAAGAGTAGGACTGGTGACCATCATCTCTTGTCTCTAGGGAGAAAAAAAATGAACTCTGGGCATACGTAGCCTAACAGTATATGGGAAATACTTCTTAGTCCAGGTAAGTATACATTATAGTACATTTTATTTATTTTACAAATGTCTTTTTACATATGACTAACATAAGTATCCCCATTACACTTGATATGAGCCTCCTGTAATCCCCTGTGCAGAAGCACTCTGACAGGGAGAGGGAGGAACAGACCTCATTAAATCAGGGCTCTACTATTTTGCATAGTGCTCACAGTCTCAGGGACTGTGTCAAATGTGGCAGGTCAACTGCAGGCCAAATGCATTTGTCAATGAATTTCTGAATAACTTTGAATCATTTCAAACTGATGTCAAAGACAAGCTACATTTTCCCGGCACAAGCCCCAAGCTCGTTGCCACAAACCCTAAAAGTGTGAACATGAATAAAGGATAGAAGAGCACAGACATGACCTCAAGAGTGACCTGCAGCTCTTCCATTGCCCACTCAGAGGCTGGGGGGGCTCCTAGACCAGACTGTATTGCTTAACTAGCACATAGGCTCTAGGTCTGTGCTGTCTAACAGGATCTCAGGATTGGCTGATCAGACTTACAAATCCTTTGGCAGGTAAATAGCTCAGGTACATACAGTATACTGTATATGTCAACTTTGCATGTAGCTTCTTGCCTAGGGTTAGTCTTTAATTGACCTTGAAATGATATTTCATTCATTGTTAAAGCCCCACTTTTACTTGAGAAAATCCTTGCCGTTAACTCATTATAATCCTCTGATGGCCACATTGTTACAAGGCCACAACCTCTGTATACCATATAATTCCATGTGCATCTAGGAAGATGCACATAGTGGCTTCATTTACCTCTTGGTAGTGTGAACTCTGCCTGGCCATATGCTGTCTCATCACCTACCCCACCCAACACCATTGTGTGAAATATAACACAATCAGAGCTACGATTGGGAAAGAATGCAAATTTAAATATGTGTTAATCACCCTCTGCTTTGCTTGTCTGTGCCATTCATACAGCAGTGCTGGTATTCCCAGGTTTGACATTTCAGCTGGGATGTTAGAGATGATGGAAATTTTACATGAAGAAGAACATCAACTAATTCCACAAAATACTCTTAATGTAGGATCAGTAATTGTTCAGTCAATGTACATAAACACTACATAGACCTTTTATGGTATGTTTTAGGACCTACAATAACACAAGATGACATTTGCTCAGTGGTTAGCTCTCCTGCCTTTCCGCACCGGGGTCCTTAGTTCAAATCCCAAACAGGACACTACCTGCATGGAGTTTACATGTTTTTTGTGGGTTTCCTCTAGATACTCCATGTCCCTCCCACACTCCAAAGACCGTATTGTTCTTCTGCGTTGTCACATGGGCTTCCAATAGGGTTTGCACACATTACGCAGTTCACAGTTGTCACTATCAGGGAACTTACCATGCAGCCATTGATGGAGTGCATATATGCAGACAGGATGTGGAAGCAAAGAGGCTGCAGCAGATGAGCAGTACGCATAATCATAAAGGATGAAGCATGGGTGAAAACAAGTACTTTATGGTTATGATACACAGTGCTTTGGCAAACAAGAGTGTTTTGCTGACACAGTGATTCCTGGCATCGTGTAACTTCTAACTAAAAATAACTTCTGGTGATTATGCCATTTCTGAGTCTTATCATTTACAACAATTCAGCCCACAAAATGTGTTGGCTGTTTCCTGTTATCCTGTGATTTATAATGCATTTGCACAGCATATAGTTGAGCGAATGATGTTTGCAGCACATTACTGCCTCTAGAGGAAACTGAGAGGCATGGGAATTCCATTTCCTATGCTCCTTGGTTATGCTCCTTGGTTCTATCTAGTGGCAGCAGCTATATGCCGTGCAAATGCATTATAAATCAGCCCCTTGGGGTTTACATCTACTTTTAGAAACCTGTACCAGATGCCCCCTTTTAAAACCTATAAACTTAGCCCAAGTCTGTTCTACTATAACATCAATTTTAAATGATTTAGTTTTTTTATAATCTCTTAAAATCACTTGACACCACAATGAACATAACTAAAAACTCTCTAAGGAACTATTTGACGTGTTTTATAAATATTGTAACTTTAATATAAATACAAAGTACTGAAAAAAAGAGGCCTGTATATGTGACTTTGCTTGCCCTCACCTCCCATCAAACCTGTGCTTCAGGAAGTCAAAGAGGGCTTTCTGCATCATGTCCGTCACCTTCCCAGATGAGAGGAGGTTGGAAATAAGATTAGAAAGGAGAGAAAAAGTGAGCAGGTTGCAGAAGAAAGGACAGAATTAATAAGAGAAGAGGTCTATGATTCTACCTTCAGACAACTAAAGTTCAGTAGAAGTTGCTGCACCATAAATGGCACTGTTACAGAAGAGATTAACTATCCACATCCGTGTTTGCTGATCCTCCCCAGGGCACCGAGAGCAATCCGTTATCACCCACAAATATATCTCACAGGCATGTATTTGTGTTGGAGGAGATTGTCCAGAATCTCTGCATTCTTTCTGACAAACTACAATGTAGATAAACTTCTGTTTAGCTTTAAAGGAGAACTATTGTGTATTCTGCTTAGGTACCCTTCTTTAGTTACTTCAACACTCATCTGAAAGATATTTTTAGAAGGTTTAGGGCTTGTTTACACCGAAAGCTGTGCGTTTCAGAGCGGTAGCTCTGTGTTCTGGAGCTTCCACGACAACCGCCCCCCCCCCCCCCCCCCCCCCCCCGCGCAACACCAACAACCCACCCAAC